GATTGGACTGCGCTGAAGAGAATAAGCTCTCTCTCGTTTCCCCTGGAAAGCATCCACTGTATTGATACTGACTCGCCCGACGTTTTCATGAGGCAGGCGATAATCAGACTATACATTTCCTCAACTCATTATACTGACTCTCCTCTTTCTGCGCCTTATGTCCGCTGTACGGCACAACTATTCCAATGTCGCCCGGCTCCACCCCTGCCTTGATGGCCACCACCATCGCATCGATCACCGCCTTGGCCTTGGCTCGGTTGGGGACGCTCGTCCCTATTCTCGTCTCCCCACCACTCAATGCGTCAGTATTCACCAGACACGTCTGGATGCCGGACGCAGCAAGTATAATCCTGGGATTTTCGCCCGCTCTCCAGCGTCACTCTGAACTGGTGGTTGCTCCGTAAAACTAGATGTTGAAATATTTGGCGATGCTGGCTGGATTCTTCGCTCTGCACCAAGCAAATGAAGTCAGACTTCATTTGCTTGATGTACAGGCTGTACAGTACAGCGAATGTGAGTTCGAACCAGGTCGAAAAATCCCGATTCTGCGTATCGTGTAAAATTGAGTTTCTATCAGCCACAACACTGTGTCGTCGACAAAGTCGTATTAGAAGTACACGTGTAGCGACACTTAGATGCCCAGTCTTCCACTCCGCGTGTAGCAGAGAATAGACAGTATAGTGTATTTCGGTCTGTGCGCGCGTGGCGCAGCGCCACGAAACTTACGCAGGGAAAAATTTGGACTAGGAAAGTTGGATGCTGATAAGATGGATCGGTATTGGACTTTATGCTCTCAGATCTAACAAATCACAGAGTAGTATTCTGAATATACGAGGTTATCTCAGCATTATCACGTCGGTAAGGCACACAATCGAGATCCACGGTGGCTCGCGAGTGTGAACGTGCTGTCTCCGTAGAGCGTGCAATAGCGCTTCCTAGTCTCACTCAAGTCGAAGTGGAGTTCACAGTGAACTGTTCACTGTATTAACCTGTACCGATAAGCATTAGCTTGTTCCTGCGCGCCACTGAGTGCATTCATGCAGTCCGCCCAGATACAGGGAGGTTTATACTCAAATCCTCAATTGTAACATACCAGGAACGAAAACGTACCGCGGCGGCAGTGTGAAGACAGTGTCATCCGCTCCAAGCCATGGAGTCCATGTAGCCAGTTCATATTCCTCGTCACTGCTCGTGAATTGTCTGCTTTCTCCACCAGGGCCTCCAAAAGGATCTGCTGTGTCATATCTACGCTATACCCGTCATAGGCCCAATCGCTGTAGTAGCAATGATGAAGCGACCGTACCGCTAGAATGGAGCGGAACACGTTTTGGTTAGAGTGTGTCACAATCGTTGTATTCTCATCGACAAACTTTCAGATTGAGTCTTATTAGTGATGCCTTACACCTACGGCCTCCTCGTACTTGCCATTATGACCCAAGCGACCCTGGGACAATCTGAGGGATCTTTCCAGGTTACTGCGGACTACCCTGCGGGGTGTCATGGCGGGCCTGGTCCAGGGAAGGGAAGTGTTATAACCACTCTTATGGAGCCATCCTGCATTTACAGCAAGAAGGGCGTTACATCCGAAGGTGTGTATAAGGAGGCTGCCGGGATCATCCTTAAGACCAACAGACCTGGGCATTTTGGCAGTATGCATGTGAATTTCACCGTGTTCACAACGCCTGACAACAAGAGTGGTACCCTGGTGGAAACATATGGGTGGGCACACTTGAGCGTCGGTGATGAAACCAGGGACTTCTGGTGGAACCCTGCTCCGGGTGAGGATGCCTACGGCCCTGGGTCGCGTATCCATATCGCGACCATCGACTATGGTTATTTCCCTAAGTATAAGGTGAACATTTGGAACTCGTGGCATGCTCTAGAAGGTTCACCGGATTGCCAAATGTTACACTTGATCTCAAATCAGAGAGCCTCCTCTAATGTACATAA